TTATTTTGGTTGAGGTAGGCTGCTGCCTGCGCGATTGCTAATGGAAGATATGATAAATTTTCCAGCAAAAGTTTTATATCCTGCGTTTCGTCTGTCGGGACTGAGATGGTCAGATGGTTCATAAACATCTCCTGGGCTGTGTTCGGTGCCATTTGTTGTAGCTCTACGATATTATATATAGCCAACCTCTCGACAATGTCGCTGTTGGTTGTTGTGAATATGACCGACCTGAGTCCAGACTATGGTAGAATATTGACTAGGTCCACTGGTTGTGGCGTGAGAAATCCAGCATCTGCTAAGTCTACGCCATCCATGTTGTTAAAAATCAGTAACCACCGTTTTGCATAATTTTTGCTGATATGACGTTTTACGAGCTGCAAAACATCCGCTTTCTCGTCCTCCCAACCAGGGAGCTTAAGCTTTTGTGCGATGCTTTTATATGCTTGGTATACACTGTCGATGTCACCAGCGTCGATCCAGAAGACTGAGCATGCCTTATCCTTTTCTTTAATACTATACGCAATCTCGAGCGCCAACTGTGATTTGCCTGTACCCCCTTCTCCTGTTATCGCAATTCTTGTAGTTTGCTCTCTGGTAGACAGGATGTTTTCGACCTCTTTAAGCTGTGACTGACGCCCTACGAATCGTTTATTTCGGGAGAAAGGAATGATAGATGGGGTGGTATCCGATTGTTCAACCTCGTCTAGAAGTCTGCGTAATGCTTCCTCTTTTCCTTCGCCATATGCGAGAGGTATTTGTACGTTAAGGATTCCAAGAAGACAATATGCGTGGTCTTCTGGTTCGGTCGCTTCGCGGGTACGGGCCCATGATATTCGATCCGAGACACTGAACTTTTCTAGAAAGTCAATAAGCTTCGCACTGGACTGATCTGCCTGTAGAACCTCTGATGGAATGCCGGTTTCTCTTTGTAGTAACGGCAAGAGGGAGTTCTTATCTCCCAATCGCAGACCTTCAGAAGAAAAAAATTCGACTGAAGTTGGAGCGATGAGCTCTTGAAGTGTCCAAGCTTGAGTAAACCATTTGCTAGCCCGGAAACGTGCTTCCTATGTATTTTACTGCTGGGCGTCTGCTGCTGTAGCTACTGACATATCGGAAAGGAATATGTAACATTTTACAGCGTTCTGATACCACTTAAACATAGAATTTACCGCGTTTGAGCGTTCAAGATTGTTATATCTGTCAAAGCAACATGTGTCGATCCAAAAGTACTGAAGGTGATCCTGACTGGCTTGTTTGGCGCAAAATTCGAGCTTGCGGAAGCCATCCTTGCTTGCATAGGTGTTGTTCAGTATATTATGGTAATGGACCTTATCAGCGTCTCCCCACCATCTGTGTGACAAGATTGCATAATGCGGGATGGTCTTTCTGGCGAAGTCTGTCAAGACTGGTCTTCCGGACTCGTCGAAATGAAGAAGTTGCATAGTTATTATGATGGCAGTCTAAGGTAGGGACAAGTTGGACACTGCTAGGAATTCAGGGAGCAACACAAGGGTATATGATAGTGGTAGGCTGTGACGAGGCTGTGGCGAGGCAGTGCAAAGCCATGAGCAGTCTCAGCCGCATCCTCGCGTGCTTGAATTGTGAGGACAACCCATGCGTTAGCAGCGAAGTCGGTGAGTCGCCTATATGGAGTATATCGTACTCAAATTGTAGTGTGGCTGTGCTGCAGCGCCTGTGTATGGTGCTAGCTGGAAATTAGGCATCAAAGTGGCGTTCAGCTTAAATTTTAGCCAAGCCGCTTCCAGCTGCTGGCCACAACCATGTTCAAGATTGTATTGATTCTCTCAGAATAGAAAGTCTTAGCATTTCTATATACCCTAAGTTAAGTCCTACTATATGATCATATAAGTGTCTAATTAATATTACGATCCCTAGTATCCAACTTAATTAATACGTCTACGCGTCAATGTCCCAATGCCCCTATGCCGCCAGCGGCAGTTCTGTCAGCGCCAAAATTATATCATCTTCGCTACAGGTGCAACCTGCCCTTCATCCACCCATATCGTGAGATCCCATGGTAATTCACGCTCTTTGGTCTTGCGGCTCCTCTTAGCCTCTGGCTCTGGCTCTGGTGCCGAGGTTGCAGGAAGTTTACGCTTTCGGCCACGTGTACTCTTGCCCGTAGCGGCTTTCTCTGCCTCTTTTGCGGCCTTTTGAGCTTCTCTTTCAGCTTTCTTAGCCTCCCTCTCGGCTTTCTTAGCCTCTTTCTTAGCCTCTTTCTCAGCTTCTTTGGCATCCCTCTCGATTTTCTTAGCATCTCTCTCAGCTTTCTTAGCCCTTTTCTTAGCATCTTTCTCGGCCCGCTTTGTTCGTGCTTCCTCAAGGTCCTTATGGCTAATAACCTTCGCATTACTTAATATAACGGGCTTTGTCGATTGGCGCACCTTGGCTTCGTTGTTCACTTTATAAAGAAATTGAATCTGTTCCTTCTGGAGTGAGCCTTCAGCAATTGATGTGTTTGCGGCATTTGCGAGCTTTTGGAGGTGTCTCTGCAAGCGCCATCTGGTCGTCTCATCAAGTGCATGTGCATCCTGATTGATTAGATTCTGTAATGATATCACGGCATCGGACGTCAGAGGCGTTGTTGGCGTCCGAACTTGGTCGTCGTCAAGACGTGGATCTAATACTTGCTGGAGCCTAGGAACTTGCGAGGTGGTGATCGGTTTGGGAGTGTCTTTGAGAACTCTGTCAGGGTTGAATGGAAACAAACCGCTCTTTGCCCAGCCAGAGAGGATGTTCTTCTTAGTAAAGGCCCTTACCCTTGCAGGAGCGTATAAACATGTAAAGTGACTTTTACCAATAGTACCTATGCCACCCCGCTCTAATTGTTCATATTTATCCCGATATGCTGATTTGAGCGGCCCGAAAACGGCGACATCACAGGGCTGGAGCTTGTGGGATGTATGGGAGGGAAGGCGACACGGGATGATGTTATTGTCCAGGCAGAATTCTAAGATTTTAAGTGTTTCATGCGTTCCGAAGCCATCTTGGATCAGCCATCGTGGTCGTCCATTGGCTCGCTCTTTCGTCTGAGGGTCGAATACACGCTTGAGCCACTCCAGGCTAATAAAGGAGTCGGTGTATCCAGACTCAGAGCACGCATAAAACCACCCAGGCGTAGGATGCGTTGTCCAAGTGGCCCTATGTGTAGATGCCGGCCATATGACCATTGGATCTAGATACCTACCATCTCTGCTGATGCACTCAATCGATGTCACTACAGTGTGTTTCACATACGCGCCTCTATATTTCTGTAGGTCGTTCCTGCCTATAAGGACCTTCACGCTACCTAATTTGCTGAGTATAATACCCGTTTTATCTATGTTATAGACATCCTCTGGGCGGATCTCGTCAGCGTGATCTCGGAATGCCTGCCCGATCACCTCAAACCAATGTATGATCTTATCGTATATATTAACTGGGTGTCGCTCCCAGTCTAGCGCGCTGACTTTTCTCGCTTTAAGTACGGGATTACGTTTCTCGAATTCTCGGGACCAGTTTTTACCTGGAGGTTCGAGCGGTCTTTTTGAAAGAGGCCGATTGCGGGCAATACTAAATGCAAGTGAATCTATATGCTTTATTCGCACAGGCTGTCCGAGGTCAGACATATGAAGTAGGAATCTAATAAGAGCTTTCTCTTCCGGTGGGGTGAGCCACTGTTGCTCTGCGTTTTTCGCTTCTTTCGAACGCCGTCCGGCTTTATGATGATAAAGCGTAGAAAGCTTGACGTTTCCATATTTGGCTCGATTAGCGAGTGTATCCTTTACACCAGGAGGTAACTCCATTGCCAATGCGCGACTGGCTGGGTCCATGCTGGCTTCTTGTGGTGGTGGTGGTCGTGGGGAGGAAGGAGCGAGGGTCCAGCGACGCTCAGAGGTGGGACTCCGCTAGACCCGGAAAATGTTCTATTTTAGCGCCAGGACCATTATTGAACACCTATCAAATCTCAGCGTCTGCCTTCAAGTGATGATCACGAGATTAAATTTCCATTATTATTATCATCATTGAAATCTTTGCAATATTGCCATCAAGTGATTTGGCAAGGCTGAAAAAGCCTTACACAATTACCTTGTTCGCTTGGCTGCAAACCAGACCGATTTGAGCACGTGCATCGTGCGCCACAAGGGTCTCATGCTAGCCTTTTATGACCATGAGGCAGCTTAGTCACTGATCAGCTAATGCATCACCAGCTCTGCTGAACCCGCCTCTCAGCATAGGAGTTACCACAGAACATAACAACGCGTTGATGAAAAATTCTCATAAAATTAAGATAGACTTCCTATTGTTACCTCTTTCACTTAATAGCATTGAATTTGCCTGTAATTTGCATGTCAGCCATTTCACAGTGGGCATACCGCTTAGAGCTACAGATGAAATGATTAATAGCATAATCAACAGTGAAGTAATTTTGTATTTAAGACCGATTTTGCAAATAAAGATAGTAATATAGCATTAACTATCAATGATTCATTTATTAATCCATAAGGTGGTGTGTTATCGTAGTTCGAGTGTTGACTTTCTCGCCACGGCGTGATTCTCGCTGCGCACGGACAGACGTTTGTAGATTGGCGAACTTTACCTTCGTTATTGATTTGTCTCAGAAATTGAATTTGTTCTCGCTGGAGGTTTTACCACCAAATCAAATCAAATCAATTCATCTAAAATCTAAATAACCATCATCTTACTCAGCTCAGCCGACAGACAGACGTTAGTGGTGACAAGATTATAGAATGTCAGCAGAATGACTTATTATATAAAATTTCGGGATGTGTTCTGTTCAGGGTGCGTTCCGCGATATAGGAATAGACGTTACTGTTGAAGATCACGGTTTGTTTTTGGTATCTGAGCCGCCACAGCGAGTTCGCATGGCTGGAGACTTTTTGGGTACCGCAAAATGCCACCGTCAGAGGATGCCCACGGGTAACTTAGAGCTTCACGGACACATATCTTGAGCATTTTGTAGTTAAGTTAACTTCGATATTATCGAATTGTATTCTCTCTATTTATAGCTTTGAAGTGAAGGAAATTAGGCAAGAACACCAAACCCTAAAGACTATTTTACTCTATTCCCTAATATAAGAACGTCGGTCGTGTGGCTGCTTGACGTACCGCTTCGTCTCGCGCGCGACAAGGGCGCCGACTGCGGCAGCAGCCACCGAGGAGAGCTTGTCTCCTTTCGTTTTCTTGTGGACGGCAAAGCCAGCAAGTAAAGCACTGACGAGAGCGGTCTTAAAAGCTCGTGGTTCTTTGCCTTCTTCGCCGTGATGATGATGGTGGACAATAGGGTGGCTGGAATCTCGACGAGTCTTGCTGTTATTGTTGTCGGAGATGTAAGTGAACGACATGGTGCTTATGGTGATGGTGGTGCTAGAGCAACAGAGTTCAGACAAGCTTGCTTTATAGACGCCCGAATAAGCGCCCTTCAATCTGTCACTTCCTGACGCCGAATTCCAAAATTTGGGATCTGAAAGCGCCTTGCGTGGCTGAGCATGTCTAGATGGCGGGACTTGGGCGAAAGCATGCACAGGACTTATGTGAAAGCCCACAAGGCAATCACGGGCAGGGTTGACAATAGATAAATAACGATTCCGGGTTTGGAAATATGGATTCTGGATTATTATTCCAAATACACTTGGCAAAGCGAGGCCCTAAAAAATAGGGTTTAGCCCCTAAAGAATAGGGGGTTGCACGTGATATATTTTTGGACTCCGATTTGAATCCATTATTAGAAGATTTTACTTAAGCGCACAGACCACTAAGAATTCGGATATTATTCTGGATTAAATCCAGGATAATCCTTGTCCTGGATTCTTTATTCCAATAAGTACCAACCCTTACCGCGGGAAAGCCCGCATGACTTTCAATCTCACGTCCAGCCCCGCGAGGGCAACACCATGTCTGCTGCACGCAAATCCAATCTTGATCCGTACGGGCCTTCTGACCAATTATAAGACGAATAATTTTTAAATATTTAGCATCTAAGCATTCCTAGCGCAGAGCCGTAGGTACTTATAGACAGATGAAAAATCATGGGGCACTTCAACACGTTGTGACACCCAGCAACTACTGAAGGTGGAATATATCAAGCCATCATGCCTCATTTCCAATTTCATGAGCAGAGATCTTGCAATTCGCTGAAACACTCCACAGAACCTCGGTGTCCGCCTGTTACATAAGGAACAGCGTTGAATGTGCTGGTCGAAATTGCTCATAATGAAAAGCTCAACGTTGTTTGGTGGACGCGATATAGATGAAACTACTGTAGGGTAGAAGGAAACTCGAGGTTGGTAATGCATGGTTTGTCTCTTTATTGATTGTGTTTGATACGAGCTAGCTAATAAGCAGGAAAATGACCGTTCCTTAAATACGCGAGCGGCACAGCACGGCCCTTGCAAGAAGGAAAATCAGATTTAGCTTTCACGCTATAGGAACATGCGTGACCATGAGCCTCCTACTGACCACAATTATCCTACGGAAACAACGAATAGCTGAATGAACTTGCCAGCCTTTCGACAGTAGGGCATTGAAGCCGGCGCTGTTTTCCCTCCTCCACTTCCTCCCGCGCAACACTGTCCTCCAGCACCCATTTGTCCGCCAGTTTATTTGTGCAAACTACATGAAACGGTCTATGTCCACACGGCTCTACGAAGGCCCATTCTCCAGCATCGCGTATAGATCCCCGACGATAGCATATCCCATAATCGTGTCTGTCGATGCCGAGCAGTGTTTCGGAAGCCAAATCTTGCTCCTTGCTCACCTGACTAAGCAATTTCTCAGCGTTCTTAGCCGTACGCTGGAAAGGTGTCAGTACTTTGTTGAGCTATCCGGGCTCAGCGGCGATTCGACCCAACTGCTCAATTCGTTCGCCGCGCATGCTCCCAAACTCAATAACGCTGTCTTTCAACCCAAGTATGGTCAAATACATGCTGTGCCACGTGGATTCAGTTCTTAGTACACCTCGCACCTCTTACGCGTCTTAGGTGGACCATGACTAGCCGGGCTCTCGTTGATGGGATCAGCGATCGAGGGTCTCTTCTGGCCAGCTCGGACAGCAGCAGAGCGGCCATTTGTGCTCTCATCTGCTCCGCCTTCGCCACCTTCAACACCTTCGCCGATAAATGCTACAGTGCGACCACGGGCAGTCGCTGCAGAAGAAGGGCCGGCGATGCTCTCATCTTCCTCCTCATCATTAACAAGATTAACGACTTCTGTAGGAACAACACTCAAAGCGCGTATCGCAGCAGAGTCAACGGATTGCCTGCCTCCCCCACCGTGGCCATTCTCCGTAGAGCTCTCGTTTCCTATGCGGCCAGCGGACTCTCTGAAAGCTTATTGATCAGAATAAACTAAGAAAGCTTATGAACTCACTCATGCATCATTCACCGCTCCCGTGAAGCACTGGTTATATAAGCATAGAACTTTGCCAGGGTCCATTTTGCTAATACATACTGATCACATTGTCTCGGTAGCTCAAACAGTATAAGTCATGGCGCAGTTTTAGAGCCTTCTAGAAGTGTCACGTGAAACAGCGTGATCCGCGAGCAGAGCTCCGCTAATTTCAAAATGCCGGACTCTGCTAGCTCAATTAACTTAGATATTACACCATTGTCAGATATTACAGTATCACTTATATAAGTTGGCCAGCGTGCTATGAACGTCTGGAATGACACGTGATCAAATCGTCTAGATCCAGGCGCTAACTATCATGCCTTAGGCGCAAGATATTGGAACCAGACAGAAGGCCTGTGAGCCAATCATCCTACCATCCTCCCGCCATCCTCTTACATCTGAACCTGCACTTCATTACATGTGGACGTCCTTATCCAAAACTACAATGTCGCTATTTTTTGATCATATTCGAGCAACAGATACAGAGATAATAAGCAGATGCCATGCATCTGGGGATCTGCTCTCCGACTCATCCTGTTCAAACAAGGTTGTCAAAATTTCTTCCAACATTGTCGTCAAATACGGCAACTTTGTGAAGGAAGGCGAATTCTTCAACCAGCAAATTGCCTTCCAACTTCTCGACCCCAACATTGTTCGTGTTCCTGCGCCATACCGCTTTATTCAAGATGGGCCTATTGGTTATCTGGTGATGGACTTCGCAGAAGGCGAAGTCCCATGCACGAAGCAGGCGTTGGCTGTCGCACCACGGCTCAGGCAAATCTTATCTCACATGCACAATATTCGAGGTGAAACGCCGGGGGCTTTAAGTGGAGGCGTTGTTGAAGGTGCTCTGTGGCCCAATAACGTGCCCATCTTCAAGGACCGACGGAACCTTGAAGATTGGCTGACAAGACGACTAAAACGACCAGGAAGTCGTATCAGTTTCGAGGACCAACCGTTGGTGATGTGCCATATGGATTTCTCCCCTCGTAACCTGGTGATCTGCAATAGCAACAAAACAGTCACGGTCACATTGCTTGACTGGTCTTCCGCAGGATACTTTCCTCGCATATTCGATTACATTCCATACAAATTCTCGCCTCTCGATACTGGGTTTTTCCTCAATCTGGAGCCACATCTTGCGAGTTTAAGTCCTCAGGAGAAGCAGACAGCGAAGGATGTAGTCCAAGCGTTGGAAAACTGCCAGGTATTTTTCTTGCAAGTAATCTAATCACAGAATCGCGGAATATCGCGCTAACCTAAAGTTTAGTTCATAAACTGAATCAAGCCGAAGTTCGTTGAGCTTAACGCCTTGATATCTTCACGTCTCCTTCTCATGACCGCCACGTTGACCTAACTGGCTCCTCACCTTCCATTCAAATCTACATTTCGCCTTCTTCGTCTCAGCATCTTTAGCCTTAACCGCAGCTAACGTTACTCGGAATGGCTATAGCTCTGGAAAGCAACGTACTTCGTATTCAACTAGGTGCTCTTTTCCTCACGAGCTCTACTGAATGCAATCACTGGTTCATTAATGTGCAGATCGCAGAGGGTTCAGTGCGATTCCACATGATGGTCGACGCAGACCAGAACGGTGATACAGTTTACGACGTCAAACAATCTCCGAATGCGGTGACGGGCCGTGCCATCAAATTGCATGACTTCCAGCCTATCGTTCAGCTCAAGGTGGGACACATAGACCAAGCCATAAGGGAGAGAAACCTTCACCGTTACGAGTTTGGCCCAGAGGGCTCCGGCTGTCAGCACTGGGTGTAAGTGACCCGATATGCACAAATGTGCCTGGGCGTTGACGATAAGTCATAGCTACCTAGTGATTGCGTGTTTAGAGGAAAAAAGGTGGCTGCCACAAGGAAGCAAGAATAGGGCCTGGGAGGCTGTGCAGCATTGTTGGTCAACAAGAGCTGGAGCGGATGGAGAGACAGAACTAGTTTCTAAACGGATCGATGTGGTTTATGGAAGCGAATATCAAGAGGAGGACGAAGATGATGATGACGACGGATCTGGCCCTGCTACAGCTCCAATAGTTCCTCCCGGCGCTTACCTCGCCTCGGATCGTCGCTTGTATCCTCTGCCAGGCTTCTACCTCGCCTCAGACGGTAACTACTACCGCAGATAACTCTAAGCTGGCGAGCCAAGTGAAGTTGACTGGTTACATCAAGACGAGCATTGGAGAATTCACATAGCTGTTTTTGGGTAGCGCATCGCCATCAATTTCTCGCAATTTACCCAGATCTGGATAACGGGGCTTGGGAAGATTGGCAGATGTTGCATTCATAGGTTCTTTTTCGTCACATATTTGAAATGAAGCGGTTGTCCGTTAAAGGAGATGTTCTGGGAGTATTAGTCGCGACTCGAAATCAAGTGGGTACTTCTAACTGTAAAGATGGCCACTATTGAGCCGATCTGTTCGGTATGTAGAAGAACTGCAGGATGGCCATAACAGTCCTCTGGTATACCTTTTAATGTCGCCACGCTCACTGTATCATCATCTATAGGATCATTCTTTCCTCTCAAACTGCAAATGCTGCCGTATTCGTATTCATAATGATCAGAACGTCCATAACACGCTCGCCATGGTTTTCATTATGGGCGGTTAGCTGACAGCATGGAGATGTGGAACGGGTATGCGAAGAAGGGCCACGACGACCAGCCATAAGTTTACAAGCCCCATGGCTGAGGCCTGGATTAAGTAGTTATAGCATGATGTAGATCAGACAATACCTTACAGTGCTCTGATTGGGTCAAATAAGCGGAACTCGTTTCGGACTGATGAACCTCTAGTTAAGAGGTACAGGTACTGATATGCGGGGCAACAATGTATGAATTGACCCACACCAATCACAACAAGGCTAGTAAGAGCTTTAATCTATCATTATGTATGGCCATCAAAAACTAATAGAAACTCTATAGTAGATCGTTAATAGTCATGTTTAATAATAAACAAGCTATCTATAGACTTGGACAGAGAGCGACGATGTAGATGTAATATTCAAGTCTAGAGATGTGGCGATGCTGTCGGACAGCCGAACTAATTGGCTAAGTTATTGCCGGTCACCATTATACAGCCCACATTTCAATACTTCCTTAATTAACGTCTGTCCGTGCGCAGCGAGAATCACGCCGTGGCGAGAAAGTCAACACTCGAACTACGATAACACACCACCTTATGGATTAATAAATGAATCATTGATAGTTAATGCTATATTGCTATCTTTATTTGCAAAATCGGTCTTAAATACAAAATTACTTCACTGTTGATTATGCTATTGATCATTTCATCTGTAGCTCTAAGCGGTATGCCCACTGTGAAATGGCTGACATGCAAATTACAGGCAAATTCAATGCTATTAAGTGAAAGAGGTAACAATAGGAAGTCTATCTTAATTTTATGAGAATTTTTCATCAACGCGTTGTTATGTTCTGTGGTAACTCCTATACTGAGAGGCGGGTTCAGCAGAGCTGGTGATGCATTAGCTGATCAGTGACTAAGCTGCCTCATGGTCATAAAAGGCTAGCATGAGACCCTTGTGGC